CAAGGTCATTTAATTAGTCTTGACCTGGTCTTCATCATGTCATCAACTATTGCTATAAGTAAAACTAAGAAAAACACTTTTAGCCAAGGTCATTTAATTAGTCTTGACCTGGTCTTCATCGTGTCATCAACTATTGCTATAAGTAAAACTAAGAAAAACACTTTTAGCCAAGGTCATTTAATTAGTCTTGACCTGGTCTTCATCGTGTCATCAACTATTGCTATAAGTAAAACTAAGAAAAACACTTTTAGCCAACTTAGCATAATTCAACCATGTGCATTTAGATTTGCATAAGATGAACATGGGAGAGAGCTATCAGTAAGTCAGTCAGATTGACAAAATTGTGGTCTTGTGATATTTTGCTTTTTACTCTACTGAGTTTCTCAAATGATTTGGTGGCTTGTTACTCTGCAGTTGCTTTGTTTACTACTCAACAGTGTTTATAAAGTTTTCTTTGCAGTATGTTTGAGATTTTAATTTGTATTGCACATCAGGCCCATTCCTACTGTATTTATAAGACATGTGGTGTAAAAATATACCATAGTTTTCTGTAGTATTAGTTTTAATCTGAAATTATTCTTTGTAGTAAATATGTGCAGGTTTCACATAACACCATTAAGTTGATCTTTGTAGTAAATATGTGCAGGTTTCACATAACACCATTAAAGTTGATCTTTGTAGTAAATATTTGCAGGTTTCACATATCATCATTAAGTTGATCTTTGTAGTAAATATGTGCAGGTTTCACATATCACCATTCAGTTGATCTTTGTAGTAAATATGTGCAGGTTTCACATAACACCGTTAAGTTGATCTTTGTAGTAAATATGTGCAGGTTTCACATAACACCGTTAAGTTGATCTTTGTAGTAAATATGTGCAGGTTTCACATAACACCATTAAGTTGATCTTTGTAGTAAATATGTGCAGGTTTCACATATCACCATTAAGTTGATCTTTGTAGTAAATATGTGCAGGTTTCACATATCACCATTAAGTTAATCTTTGTAGTAAATATGTGCAGGTTTCACATATCACCATTAAGTTGATCTTTCTTCAAGCTACCTTTGTCAATTTCAGAGTTGGTGATACTTGTTACTGCCCGTGGAGAACATTGCTTGTTTCAGTAGGCCAATAGCAGTGTCCTTTAATAGCTGTACAGGTAGTATCTACAAGTATGGCCTTACCTGTGTGTAATGAGAATGACCATTTACATGGTATTGCATGTTAGATGGGTAAAAGCACGGTTTCTTTAAAGCCTCAAACCTTGCACTTAATTAGTCTTGACCTGGTCTTCATCTTGAGAAACTTCTTGAAGAAACAACTATCTAACTTAAGCAAGTACACACACACACACACACATATACACAGTATTTTTTTATTAATATATTGTTTTCATTGTGTTTCACACACTATCGCCTGTTCATTCTTTTTTCATTGTTTTTCATACACTGTCACCTGTTCATTCTTTAATTTAAACAATAAAAGTTTACCACTTGTTCTCTAATACCACCTCTTGACTGAATCTCCTGTTTGGTGGACTTACTCAATATAACTCCAAATAAATTCAGTTTTTAAAACAACCACCACAACACACACGTATTAGACAAAGTATGGGATACAAATAGTGAAATTCATGTACGTTGTTCCTTTTTATATTTATATTATGGACCCAGCATTCACGATGAGAAGTAACCAACCAGCAATGCCATGCACAATTATCTTCTGGACAAATAGTTCTGTCTTTGAGAATAACATTCTGAGATTTTGAGCTGCAGTTAGAGGATTCATCATTTTTTTTATTGAAAATTAAAAGAAATGAAAAAAATACATTGTCTTACAGTTCAAATCTAATTTAAAAATTTCACCTGAAAAGCAGACAAAGAGGTTCCTCAGTATTCTGTGTGTCTAATACACTGTTGAGCCTGTACTTAATTTATAATGAAAACCAGGAACTAGCCACTTGTCAGAGTAGAGGGAAAACTGAATAGCTATCCATTTGAAGAAGAATCACTACTTGTTTAGAGAATAACTAAGTGGAGAAACAACATTCCACAAAATCTAACATGGCCAAAGGAGAATCTTGCAAGGTGGTGAGAGAGGAGGGGACTCGCTATATTTGATCTTTCTAAAATCCATGGAGACTGAGGCATGCTAAAGACACAGTAACAACTAATCTTGAGGTGTTCAGCTAGCTCAAAGTGGTTTCAAAACATATTTTCTAAGTACAACTAATGAAATGTCAAACACAATTCTCTAAAATTTACAATCGTGAAATAATCGTTCAATGGTAAAAAGTATGAAATGATACTAATCACACAAACTTTGTTTCTGTAACATTTTTTACATATTTATAACACAGAAAACTTGTGGCAACAGATGGAACAAAAATATGATCAACATCAGAATTATTCATTTTCATTATCACTAATTATCATATTTTCTTCTGGCAAACATATCAGGCATGAGATTTGAATAGGTATTTTAGGTTAAAGTTGTCCTTCACATGTTCCATGGTCAACATTTTAAAGTCAACAATAAACCAAAGTCAGAAGGAGCTTCTTGGTGGCCATTACACCAGACTTTTCCTGTTAATTTACTCTGTGGAAAGGCAATATTCAAAACTTTGTCAACTCACACACAAGGCAAAACTTTTAGGGCCCCATCCTGTTGGAACCAATTTGTGGCATATTTATCTAATGGGATAATGGAGATAACAGCTAAATATGCATTGTTTATAAGTCAACCTTCATCAGTAGCATTACTATTAAACATATAATCCAATCAAATGAGTACTTAACAATGAATAACACACTGTGAATCACTTTGTATCTGCCTCTCTCTCACCTGCTGGGGATTTCAATATGTGCCTGATTAGATGACCTTCAAGATAAAAACAAAATGGGTTCATCACTAAACAGGTTAAATTAATACGATGTACAAACCAACAACAGAACAAGAACCTTCTGCTAAACAAAACAATCACCAAGACATAATATAAGAACATTTAGACTCTATCAAATTAAGAAAATATTTGAATTTTTCACAAAACAACTCAAAAGCTATCTGCATTAGGTTTCCCTAATTTGGAAGTAATCGGCTAAGATGAAAGGCAGCTAGCAAACACCAACTCATGGGTTATTCTAATTGAATAATTGGTTTTGACTGTCACTCTTATAATACACCCATGGCCCCAGTGTGTGGAGTGCTGTTTTTATTTTACTGTAAGGGGGGTACGAACCTTGGACCCACAGTCTGAAACACTAATCACTTGGTGGTGCTCAGCTCTGAAGCAGAAAGTAATATAATGTAAAAACTCTGCACAATAGCAAAAGAAAGAGAGACATCTCCTGGTGAAGAAATCACAAACTAGAAGATTTAGGTTGGTCACCACATGATAGAATGTTTCCTTAAACAATAACTTAATGTAAAGCATCACAAAAAAATAAAGTTCAGTTGAAATATTGTAAAACCCAGTTAAGAAGAATACAACACAAACTAGGATTAAGAACCTCTTTATTGTTCACACAGAGATACAAAACCACATACAACAACACAAACTAGGATTAAGAACTGTTTATTGTTCACACACACAGATACAAAACTGCATACAACAACACAAACTAGGATTAAGAACCTGTTTATTGTTCACACAGAGATACAAAACCACATACAACAACACAAACTAGGATTAAGAACCTGTTTATTGTTCACACAGAGATACAAAACCATATACAACAACACAAACTAGGATTAAGAACCTGTTTATTGTTCACACAGAGATAATAAACCACATACAACAACACAAACTAGGATTAAGAACCTCTTTATTGTTCACACAGAGATACAAAACCACATACAACAACACAAACTAGGATCTTATAGAAAAAATTAAAACACTCTGTCAGAAAAATCTAAAAGGTTTTAGCTTCCACTGGAAATGAAATAAATGTAAATGTTCGATAAAAATGAGAGAAACACAAACATTACATCATTAACTTAACTAAGAACTGATTGAGAAGGTGGAAACACAGTAAAACCAAAAACACATTTAGTTAAAGACATTACAGTATTCCATCACCACCACTAAAACCTCAAAAGGTTAATTTTAAAAAATTCTAGCGTTTTGTAGTTAGGATGTCATGAATTAACTTTTTTGAGGCTTAAACGCTGATGTTAGAATTTGAAATACTTCCAAAACACTTGTAATTAAAGATATTTTTAGTAGTACAGAATTTATAATATTTTTTTTTACATACATAATAAATTTCAACTTTTACTTGCTGAACAGTTTTATAACAAGAAGAAAATAAAACTACTTTACTCAACAAAGCAGCTGGTAAGTAAGTTATTCAGAATGGGCTAGGCGTAAGTGTTTTATTCTCTGGTGGCGCCACCTAAAGCTCTTCCCACACAATTTACAGGAATACTGATTGACATTGGTGTGCAAGTTGAAATGCTGCTTTAGAAGAGATTTATCTTTGAATACTTTAGGGCAGATTGGACAACCTAGACCTGACTGGTAAACTTGAAGCCGTGAGTAAAATTCCGATCTTTGTCTGCCAATACTACCTAGAAGACAAATGAAACATTTTTAATTTTTTCAACAAAGAAACTACAATATCAGTCACTAACAGAATCTTAGTCAACTTAAAAAATTTTACACACTGTAATTGAACTCTTGAATTATTATCATGATGTCCTAATAACTATCACCATACCTTATAAAATTCCTGGTTTAATTACAAAAGGTGGATAATAACATGGTTTGGATTAGTTTACAAATGGGTAAATCGTGACTTTTGGCCGAATGCTGGCAGCATCTGCTCGGGTTAAGCTATCTAAAGATTGACTTATTAGAGTAATATATAAAGGAATTACAGAACACATTACCAACTTAATAAGATACTACAAAATTATTTCTCATAGTATCTAATTGTGTGCCTATTATTAACCTCTATTTTTAAGTATTTCTAAACCTATTCTTACCAGAATTCATATTTTAATATTCCATTATCACAGAAATTAAACTCATGTTATAGTCAAGTACAGTTAGCAATTACCTTTTTATGAAATTAATAAGATTTTCTCTAACTCTCCATTTATCAAAAAAAAACTGTTACTCTTAATTCCAAGTGAACATCACCTTTCTAACAAATTATAAATATAAAATGTGAAACACCACTAAACAAACCAGTGTGTGAAAACATTAAAATCAGTTTCTAATAGCCCTTGATTTATTAGTGAGAAATCAACATCATTAAAACAAATGATTTTTATTTAATTACAATCACAATTCAAACAAAGTAATTTAATTTTACTTTTAAAAAGCTGACTTCATTACTTTTAGTTAAAAGAACATTGATATATATATTGTACTTTTGTCCTCCCAGAAAATTGAACTGATCTATTAACTGATCACTAATCTCCTTCTTCATTCTCCTGAAGAAGAATAGTAAACTAATTGAAAGCAGTTGAGTCTTGGGTCTCATTTGAAAACCATTACAAATTTTGTATGTGATCCTATGTGCTCCATCTTCCTCCAACAAAACTGACCTTGAATAATCCATCTTCCTACAACAACTGACCTTGAATAATTCATCTTCGTCCAACAAAACTGACCTTGAATAATCCATCTTTTTCCAACAAAACTGACCTTGAATAATCCATCTTCGTCCAACAAAACTGACCTTGAATAATCCATCTTTTTCCAACAAAACTGACTTTGAATAATCCATATTCCTCCAACAAAACTGAACTTCATTAATCCATCTTCATCCAACAAAACTGACCTTGAATAATCCATCTTCCTCCCAGAAAACACAACTTGCTAAATCAAAACAAGGAAACTAGTTTACTTTTAAAAAAGCTAACTGAACCTGCATATCTTGTCCAATTCTAAAGTGCAAATTAAAATGAAAAATTAATGCAAATTAATCAAAAACTTTATGAACAAAAACGTTACTTAAGCAGTGTAGTCTAATCTAATTTTCCACAGAAAAAATGCTATAAAGTAAATTCTAACATGGCAGTTGCTCAAAAACAAAACAACAGACAATTTTTTCAATAGCTAAACAGCGAACAATTACTTGCAACAGCATTATGCAGGAGTAAAATACTTTGGAAGTCTCTCGTTTGTCAAATACCACAATAGATCTTAATTTTTTTTTATCCAACTTTTCACTAACTTCTAATCAAAGTTGATAAACAGTCTCCTACTTTAGTAACAGATATTGAGAAAACCTAAAGTTCATCAACAGTCTCCTACTTTAATAACAGATATTGAGAAAACCTAAAGTTCATCAACAGTCTCCTACTTTAGTAACAGATATTGACAAAACCTAAAGTTGATCAACAGTCTCCTACTTTAATAACAGACATTGAGAAAACCTAAAGTTGATCAGTCTCCTACTTTAGTAACAGACTTTGTGAAAACCTAAAGTTCATCAACAGTCTCCTACTTTAGTAACAGACTTTGTGAAAACCTAAAGTTCATCAACAGTCCCCTACTTTAGTAACAGACATTGAGAAAACCTAAAGTTGATCAACAGTCTCCTACTTTAGTAACAGACACTGAGAAAACCTAAAGTTGATCAGTCTCCTACTTTAGTAACAGACACTGAGAAAACCTAAAGTTGATCAGTCTCCTACTTCAGTAACAGACATTGAGAGAACCTAAAGTTGATCAACAGTCTCCTACTTTAGTAACAGATATTGAGAAAACCTAAAGTTGATCAACAGTCTCCTACTTTAGTAACAGACATTGTGAGAACCTAAAGTTCATCAACAGTCTCCTACTTTAGTAACAGACATTGTGAGAACCTAAAGTTCATCAACAGTCTCCTACTTTAGTAACAGACATTGAGAAAACCTAAAGTTCATCAACAGTCTCCTACTTTAGTAACAGACATTGAGAAAACCTAAAGTTCATCAAGAGTCCCAAACTTTAATAACAGACACTGAGAAAACCTACAGTTGATCAGTCTCCTACTTTAATAACAGACATTGAGAAAACCTAAAGTTCATCAACAGTCTCCTACTTTAGTAACAGACATTGAGAAAACCTAAAGTTCATCAACAGTCTTCTATTTTAGTAACAGACTTTGAGAAAACCTAGAATTGATCAACAGTCTCCAACCAGTTCAGTAACAAAACTTCAGAGAATTTGATCAACAAAATCTTCTCCTAGTTTAGAAACAGGCAGTCAGGAAGCCCAGACATGATCAACAGTATTTTACCAGTAATCAATTCTCTTGGAAACCCAGACATGATCAACAGTCTTTTACCAGTAATCACTTCTCTTGAAAACCCAGACATGATCAACAGTATTTTACCAGTAATCACTTCTCTTGGAAGCCAAG